CTGAAGCCCCAAACCCTTGGAGGAAAACCCCCTGGGAAACCCTGCACTGGGAAATCTGGATTGGGACGGAAGTCCCAGAGCCAGAAGCCTGTGAGGGTGGGAAAACAGACCCCGCGCTGACACCAGGATTAGTGAACTCAAGTGTCACTAATCCCCGTAGCCACAGACAATCCTGACAAAAAGTCTGTGGCCCCTGAACCTATACCCGAAGGCACAGTTCCGGAGTCAAAGCGGCCCCCACCAACGACGCCACCTGGCGTGCCGAGGTCCCTGAAGGAATCAGAGACCTCGACCGGAAGTCCCTTTCCGACGGTAACACCGCCGCCTATCGAGAGCTACCGGCCAATTCGACCCTTGACTGCGCCGAGTCAGGGTCGGGCTGCCCCCCCCCTACTCCAGGACGCACCTGGACAGGGGGAGCCACCCCCTGCTGAAGGGCGGAGCTCGGTGGAACGAGAGCACCCCCAGCAGGAACGCTCTGGTTCAGAACTTCAGGAGGGAGGTCTTAAAAAGCTTACTTCCCTTACCGGAAGAAGAGGACGAATCCCTCTTCCGGCGGAAAGTTAGCTGGAAAGGCATGGAAGCCTAAGCAGCAGACTCCATGTGCAAACAAAGTTCACATAGTGAGGTCTGGCTGTAATGTCGGCAAATGGGACAGGTATCATGGGGTTCCCATTATCTATAGAAATAGGAACATCCATGCGCTGACCCCCGACGTAAACCCGGCACCTTTATCCAGCATCGAAACAATAAAAAATTGTAACAATGAAAACAAGGATAAAAAGTTTTCTAACAATCAAAAAACTACGAACGAGATCATAAAACCTACCGTACGCAGCAAGATTGTACTGCAAAAAAAGAAAACGGTCGTACAAAACGGCCGACAAAGCAGCAAGAAAACAATTTCAACTTCACGAAAATCCGAGTGACGAGACAAGTAGTCACTCACTCGAACACGCGGAGTAAAAACACGGCCGGAAACGAAGTTCTCGAACAATCAAAAAACTACGAACGAGAGCACAAAGCCTACCGTACGCAGCAAGATTGCACTGCATAAATAAAACGGCCGTACAACACGGCCGACAAAGCAGCAAGAAAACAAATTCCAACTTCACGCAAATCCGAGCAACGAGACAAGTAGTCACGCACTCGAATACGTGGAGGAAAAAACGGCCGGAAATACGGTCAAAATAAACAAATGACAATACTTAATTTCACAATATAGGTTGGGAGATGGGTTTATAGACTACTAATAGAGTAACAATATACTCAAACGACAATGGCAGTACGAAGAGAAGGAGTAAGAAAAGCACTTAGCTCAGACACCTCCGCACTCGTCGGCAGCCATAAAGGTAAGAGGAAGGGAGATCACTCTGCGTTCCTGCCGTGATGGCTCATGGATCGTAGGGAGGGCGGGATTGTTTTTCTTTTGAATCTTTTGTTGTTGGGATACAAAGATGGGTGTAGGTACTGTATTTGCATACTAAAGTTATGGTAATTATTACTGAAATGAAATGGCTACTTGGGCCAGGTGAGGGGTACTCATTAAATACAATCTCTTGTTTGAGGCCCCCTCCACACTGTCACCAAACGTTTGGCAGGCACTGACGCCTTCTTTAAAACCCAAGATCACACCAGACAAAACCTTTTCAGGGGGCCATAATGGAAACCTTAGTCACACACCCCTATTGTGATTACCCAATAAACGCTTGATTAGTTCATCATGACAAAAACGTATGTGAACCTTTTTATAATGTGCTCTACTCAAGCATGCAAATTCTGTCTTTGTGTTGTTTAACATGTTTGTAATGTTTGACATGGGGCTTTTGATTTAGTTATGTTAATGACATCATGAAATGAAATCTGCTCCAGATTTTTGTGTCAGTAATATGTTTTATATTGGACACCTGGACCTAACCACAATGTTTAAGAATTTAATGTAGGTAATAATCAGGATTAATATGGTTTTTACCATAAGCAGGCAATTTACTGATGATTTAATGGGTTATCAGGGAACAGAAACAAGATAACCCAGAGATATACTAGCTGTACTTTTGTATATCTGTAATCGTTCAGTGGGAGTTGTGTATTGTAAAATAATAAATTGTTTTGAGGGATTCTAATTATCAAACATTCCTGACTGCTTCCAAGAATGATTGGCATTTTTGTGTGGGTTTTATTAATTCTATAATTAATTTCTGTTTAATCATGCCACCTACAAGTTTTAAGTATATCAAACATGCCTGTACTTGTGTGTACAAGGTCACTAGTGATGTAGGTACAGACAGAAAATAGTTTTATATACATGTCACACATTAAAATATCTCAAACTGATATTTATAGGAACATGAATCATTGCCTTATGGTTGAAGAGGTTCTAGTAATCGCACATGTATATATCCTTATAAAAGCTTGCGGTCATGGTGTTGTAAATATTGACACTACGTAAATGATTGCCATCATAAATAATCATAACAAGTCCTGAGATAATATGAACATATGTAATACCAATGTAAGCACACTTGTATTTCATATAACAGATCAATATTTAAACCTATCTTTTCATGCCAAACCTTGGCCAGTGTAATAGGATTGGCTGTTACATAGCCAGGTATACACTGTCCGATAGGATTGCATAATGATTAGTGAAATTGTTCTTATGTTGTGGTTGTATAGGGTTGTGTGTTAACAATTGTTAACCAACTTGATGATTGTATGTTAAAAAAAATATTTTCCTAGTGTGCATCAATATTTACTGGTTAGATTTGACCTGAAAATAAAGGTTTGCCTGATACACATTGAAAGTGTGTAGGTTTGGTTGTTCATGTTGTGTTTGAGATCCCTTATTTTGGGGTATCATATAAATGCATGTATTAAGAAATCCTGATCAACTTCAACAAGGTCTTTTCTGTGGCAACCAGTTAATCAACCTGTATCAAAGCTAAGGTAACAATGCATACTCTAGTGATATCCCTGTATGTGGTGCAAGTTTTATATATACCATGCATCACAATAAATGTGACAATGTCTTTGTGGCATGCGAGATGTACAAATAGATTTGTCTTCAGCGGGACTTCTGAAACATTTATGCACCAAAAGCTTCAAGGTTATTTTTTTTGTAACCCTGTTTTACTTTTAGGCTGTGTGTTTACAATTGTATGTGTTCTGTCACTGACTTTACTCGTATATCTTCATTAACCAATGGTTTTAAGTAAACAAAATACAAAAGTGATTTGAATTTGAGCAGGTAATGCTTCCAAGGGCTAATTTCTACTGTTTTGTATTCAGTTTCCAACTTTAAAACTTTATCCTATTCTACAACCTGCTTGTGTCCTTCTGTGTCACTCCTTCCCTAATCAATCACATATATCCCATTATAAATACAGAAGCATACACATTCACACATATATTGCTCATTGGCCTGATCCTTCACTTATAACAGTGGTCACAGATTTCAGGTACACAGCTCAGTTTTGTTCGAGAGCTTGTTAAACAGAACTTTTAAAAAAAATAATTCCAGTAGTTTTTTTTTATCTGATTTGTGTATCATTGAGCAATTGTGTTTTATTGATCACTTATAAAAATCTATGAAACAAATAGCAATCCACTTCCATTAAAGCCCAGCTGCCTCCTCTCAACACCATGGTATATATATATATATGTAGACTCCAAAAAAACTACCCAGCTGTTTATTTTCAACTCTAGATGTCTTGTTTATAATAGCAATATGTCTGGACTGGCCTCTCACTTTAAATGTGTTATCGCCCACATGTTCTATTATTCTTGTCAATATTAAATGGCTCTACATGCCAAATTAATCACACAGAAAATGACCTTATCCCCTGGGAAACATGTATACCGTTAAGAAATGACCCTTGTATCATAGGAGGTGGTACACTATATCATATGGAATATATATGCTGCCACTACTTGTGTGCTGCACATTGACCTTAAAGGCCTTCAGTAAAATAAAACTGCAAACCCAAGGCCCCTCATAACCAGCTTGGGTTTTCATGGGAAAGGAATACTGGTTCATGTATACCCAAACCTTAAGCTGAACAGGATTAGCATTGTGTAATACATTTCAATTTCTCTATTCACAAATTTTGGTTTACATAGAGCAACGGATGATATATTTACTCATAAACATAGATTAAAGTAACCAAACAGACAAATTGATTTCCTGTGATTCTCAGTATACTTACAAAGTGACCTTTGGACTTTAAGCTAAGAATCTGACCCCAGCTAACCCTCCTTATGTGGTTCCCAGTAAACTGCTTTAGTGACCCAAGAGCTTGGTGGTAACATTGTGGCCCCAGCTTAAACCCCCCATTCCTCAGATGTGGTGCCATCCCAAGGGTTCCATTTGGATCCCAGTAAATTCCTTTAGTGACCCTAGAGCTTGGTGGTAACATTGTGGCCCCAGCTTAAACCCCCCATTCCTCAGATGTGGTGCCATCCCAAGCGTTCCATTTGGATCCCAGTAAATTCCTTAAGTAACCCCAGAGCTTGGTGGTAACATTGTGGCCCCAGTTTACACCCCTATTCCTCAGATGTGGTGCCATCCCAAGGGTTCAGTGTGATTCTAAGTATATTGGTGATGTGTAGTACAACCCCTAGTGCTGTAACTGACCAGCTTAGTGATAACCTGGTGATTGATCTGTCCATGAGATAGATTTGTTAACTCCTCAGACACTAGGCTGGCGCCAGGCTTGACTTTTACTTGGCATCTATTATACCCATCTCTCATCTACATTCCACTTTGTTTTAATCAGAGTTCTGATTGGTTGAATTCCCCCACAACATTCCAAATACCTATCACTACTTGACCACATAGTACTGGTCACTGGGTTACCTATTTGCATTGTAGCAGGGCAAGACTGGTCTTGTATGTTTCTGTAATAAACTATCCTACTACATTCATCATTCTCTCTTTGCTTGAAACTGGGGAAAGATTCAAAATTTTCAGTTTCATGTAATTTTTTTGTATATTGTTAAAGATTCTAGAGACAATCAGTCTTTGGAGGAGGATCTAGGTATAGAGATCTGCATGTCACTTCCTGGTCTGACCATGGCCTGTGTATAGAAGGAGCTTCAGGTGCCACACAAAACTGACACTGATCCTAATAGGCTGTCATATGCATATGTTGGACACATCTGTAAATGTGACATAGGGTTTTTTTTCAGAATGAAAGGCAGTTTATCATTATATTTTTGACATTAATTGATTGTTATGTTCTTTTCACAGAAAGACATCCTTATGTAATTTATATGTATATATTTATAAATTAAAACTTCCTGCAATGAAGCTTTTACCTTTCTGATACCAGTCATCAATAACCATTCATCCTAAATGTATCACAATCTAAACTTTTATTGAAAATCTTGTATTATTGTGGAGTTGGACACCTGTAGGTACAATGTCCAGTTACACTGGTGTTGAAACAGAGTACCTGTCGGTAAATATTTTGTTGGTGTTCATGTTGCATTTGATGAAGTCTATATGAAATGTGTAATTCTGATGATCTAACCCCTTGACCCTGATCAGATATGACCTCTGAACTATTTTAGTATGAGTGTTACATTATATCAGTGTATCAGCATGGAGACACTATCTCATTCAAAATGATATACCATTATTCAAAGTTATTGAACTCATAGAATGATAGCAATTCCCCTAGTGAAGGATATTACCCACCTCTGCCATTGCATGTAGCTGAAAATGATTCATGTCCTTTTTATAGCCTTTGTGGCTCCGTCTGCCCCTAATGTGTTGCTGTGGCAGCCATCTTGTATCTATGTCTGTAATCGGAACAATTCGTGATGTAAAACTTGATTAGGAACAAGAAGTTATTTATTTTATGTGAGACGATCTCTGATCCGAACTCGTTTCTGTCATAATGTGTGTTAAAGGAATACAAGGTACTTAGTAGTTATTGACATTTGTCATGGTCATTGATCCATATGCACGAAAGAAAAAAAATGTGTGGATAGATGTGTATTGAGATGTATTAGCTTAAGATATATGCCTTCGAAGATCTTTCTGTATGGTCTGAAGGATTATCTATTGGCTGGGAAGTTCAAGTCTGTCAGACTCGGAAACATAGGTGTTTATAGTAAATGTTGATCATGTTCCACATATAACTAGATTCCATTAAGAAAACTATTACTCTGCTCTGTATCCTAATTTATCAAATATTCAATCATCTCACAAAACAGTTCCTTCATAAAAATGGTCTATATTGGTCATATTGCATGGTGATGAGCCAAAATTGTGGCTACAGATGTTGTAATAAACAGAGGAAGTAGAAGTTGGCTTAAATATCACTTAAAAGGAAGTAATATGAATATTTATCTTAAAAAGAAAGTTTACAAAGAATGCCAAGACAACCTAGCCATGTATTATATAAAATGGTGTTTGAACAATTTTACTGTGATAAAGGTTACAGAAAAGGATGCATTCAATTTTTTATGGAATAAATTCTGAAGAAGACTGAGTTGAATTTGAATTTGTCGGAGATTTAATGGGCACCCTTTTTGTTCGCCTTTCGAAGAGAAGGGGAGCTTTATATTGTCACACAAGTGTCAGCATTGATTTCTAAATGTTAAGATTTCAGTGCAAGTGTTGAAAGGCATTAGTAAAATCCTTTATAAGTGCACTAAGGTACTGATATTTGGTTTGAGGGTTTCTGTGGATGTAATTTATTTTTACAGGGAGTCTTTATAAATGATTTTTAAGGAAAAAAGTTTAAAAAAAAAATAAAGATAAAAAATTTTGAACTACACTTTTTTTCCCTCAAAGTTAAGTTTTTGGTACCAGTGTTGAAAGCTATTAGTAATTTCCTTTATATGTGTGTTAGGGAACTGATATTTGGTTTGAGAGTTGCAAGTTCGAGGTTTAGTGATAAACAATGTGAGGTGAGCTTTTTTACTATTGTTTGTACTCATATTTTTTGTTTTCTGAAACTATTTATACCTTTTCATGATGCAAGTAAAAACTTCATGACTACTACCTATAATAATAAAAAAGTGTGTATTGAAATTAGTTGTATAATACCAAGCACAAACATTTCATGTCACACGCAAACTTAAACGTGGAGTTCAGAGTTACCTAGATGTAAAGTTGGTTCATCTTAATCCCCTTCAGGTATATATTGCAGAATGTCTTAATTCTTTTCAGTATTTTACAAACTGAAGTAGCTGAGGTGCATTTGTATGAACCTTTGGTTTTATTGTTTTTACTATCTCTGATATCTTTATTTGCAGACGGAATTATCACAAACATTACAAGCATTGTCAGAACGAGCCAAAGCTGGAACAGAGTTCATACAACACATCCGAGGCATGTCAGAAAAAGTCCATGTAAGTAACAATTAAAACATGTTACACAGGTGAGCTTATATGTCACATGTTACACACCATAAAAATCAACATCAAGGTGTACATTCAATAATGGGTATTTGGACAAGAATAAGTTATTCACTAATTAAAGTTTTAAAATATTACTTTTGTAGTTAATAGTGACTTTGTTTGATAAAAGCAAGATCATCAAGCAATCAGTAATGAAAGTCAATTATTTTCCAACATTTTGTGATCAGAATAAAATAGTTTGGAAATAGGATGGTTCCTACAGAGGCAACAAATTAAGACTTGACTTTGAAATTATGTCTAACAACTAACTGGACTATGCACCTGATCATCATGTGAAATAATGATATATAATCGATGAAGGGTGGACAAATCGGTGGACTGAAGGATGGTGACAGGTTTCACGTTACAAGCATGGAAACCTTGACCTAGTATTGAGTACCACAGGGTCTTTGTCAGGAATTTTGAAACTCTTTTGTGTGGAAGTGTTCAAATTTAGCGTGACTCGTTAAGCCTTCCACACCTTACACTGGCTTTTTACACCAGAGGGTGGAGTAAAAATAGATTTTCTGAACACAATGTATTGAAAAAGACTTCATTGAAATATATTTCTCATTAATTTTTTTTCATAAATAATATATTTGAGAGGAAGAGGAAATGGCCTACAGGGAATTGGTGAAAAAGAAAGATTGCTAGCAGAACTCAATTAAATCTAAGCAAATTAAATAAAGTTTTACATGAATACTGCTGTAGAACTGTTGAAATTGACTTGTATTCCTCTGTAACCAGGTGGATTGACTGACTTGTGATCAATCAAGATAGCAGGTGACTTTTATAGCCTGATCTCCTCTATTGTACAACAGACATTGTTAGGGTAATTCTTATGTGAATACAAAGTTTTCATTTCAATTTGATAGCAGTATTTGAAATAGAAATTTTTTATTGATGACATAGTAGATCGACAGGATGTGATTTTATAGGTCAAGTTTACCAGACAGGAAATGATTAAAAATAAATGATAGCAAATACTGCTGTCTTATAGGAGGAAATGTTCATTGCTGTTATGGTTCAGTGTTAGTTCTGGCATGACTCTGCTAAAATGTGCATTGAACTTTTCTGATCTGGTACAGACCCTGAAAGTTAAACACCAATTATTTTCCTGTTTAGTGATACAGAAAATGGTAGATTACAGGCATAGGAACACATTTAAGTTCTCATCAGGTGCATCTTTATACATGTTTGAACAAATAGCTTGCAATAGAAAAGCTCATTGCTGGAGAAAAATTAGTTACCTTATGGTGTGTTTTTATCATGAAGAATTACATAACAAACACTTTTCTTTCATTTGCTCATGAAGCAACTCAGCTCTCAAACAGCAAATTTTTGAAATTATCTCTCTTTTTGGTTGGAGTTTTGTACAGTGTACAAGGACATGCATCACAGTAGATACCTATGTGCTGGTGCTTTTAGATAGTCATAATATGCTCTAAAATGGCCTACAATCGAAAAACAATTTCTTGTATGACTACTTAAAATATACAATGGAAAACGTGAATTTTACACACAGGTAACATTTAAAATAAAAAATACATACAAGCAACAGAAAGTTGGACGTTAGTTATTACAAACAGAAGTGATGATTTTTAGCACACAAATTAGCACATATCCTGTGCTCTGTAAACCTGGAGTATACAGTTGGTCCAGAGTTGATCGAGCTGGTCACCTGAGCTGCAGCCATTGTTGTTAGACTTGGACAGGTGTTTGGGTATCAGAGAGCGGTCACCCTTTAATTATCACCGACATCATTAAGATTAATGTCTGGCTTCCCGGTAAGAACAGTTGCTGTCTTTTTTTTAATTGTTCATTAAGCAAAAAGACAAGACATTACCTGATGAATGATCCTTAACCATGCTATGTTAGTCGATACAGAGCTGTTATAAGGCGTAGAAGGTAATCAGCAACGATGGCATGTCCGAAGTATTGGCAGGCGCATTATCCCTCGTATCAATAGACCCATAGCATTATATTTTATGGCATCTTGTCACGGAAAACAAAGTTCAACAATTCATAGATGATATTGTATCCAGGCTTTCAGAAAATCATAGGTACATATACCCAACATAAGATCATACATTATTTATCAAACTGAAATGATGGTTTTTGATGCAAAAAGATGGTACATGAATAGGGAATTGATGACAGGGCTTTCTGCATATAATGAATGATAAAATATTGAAGTTATTTAATAAAAATTGTAAGTAAGAATCTCTTGAGATCTTTTCTATTTTGTAACAGTGGAGTGATCACAGAGCTTCTGACATTGGCAGTCTCTGTTATAGACTTGTTGTGATAAGCTTTAGTGGTTAGGTGGCACAGTGGTGACACACTTGGCTTTCACCTAGGTGACCAGGGTCCAATTTTCCCTGATCAAATGTTAAAAGGACAAAAGGTGTGGAATCACTTGCCTGACCAAATGGGTTTTCACCTAATACTTAAAATTTTTTTCCTTCGACATTGTTCCCTCAAACACTTCCATTTCATTATGGTTGTAAAATCATTAAAGTTTATATTAAAGTGATCATTGGCAGTCCCTAAGACTGGCCCTGATGATCTTTGTGGTCATTAGTGGTACCTAAAGGCTGGCCCTGATGATCCTAGTGATCATTAGTGGTACCTAAAGACTGGTACTGATGATCTCAGTGATCATTAGTGGTACCTAAAGGCTGGTCCTGATGATCTCAGTGATCATTAGTGGTACCTAAAGGCTGGTCCTGATGATCTCAGTGATCATTAGTGGTACCTAAAGGCTGGTCCTGATGATCTCAGTGATCATTAGTGGTACCTAAAGGCTGGTCCTGATGATCTCATTGATCATTAGTGGTACCTAAAGGCTGGTCCTGATGATCTCAGTGGCAGTGTCTAAGAGATATAAGAAAGAAATGCTTGGTTTTTGTGTAGAAAATGAGAGTTGTAACAAATGGTAAGAAAGGGACTATTTGAAAACAATATCAAAGAAATCAACCATCGGTTTTATGATATTTGTAAGGCAATGACAATTTGAATCATAAAAAAAAAAGAATAAAAAACATTTGCAGTACACTACTCCAACCACTTGCCTTTCCTCAGTCGGTAAGCGGCTATTTACATTGGTGAGTCAAAATCAATGTCACATGACAGCTTTAAAATGTGTAATGAAACAGCTAATTTTCAGGTGAAATAAAGAACTAATACACAACAGGATACCTGACTCAGCCTTTGGTATAAACCTGGTATATCATTGTTGGGTTGTGATGATGGTCCCGATCACTTGATTTTTTTTAAATCCTGTACTGATTGACCCTCAGTACCGTGGATGTGGTGACTACAGGTGCTTGACACTTAAATAACCAGTCACAACCTTCAACTTACCTGTTGGTACAGGTAACTCATTGACTGATTAAGAAAGTGAAGGTCTGAAATTTTATTACTTCCTCAGAGAAACAATGAAATAGGAGACTATTGCACGGTTCATTGTTCTGCAAGTCCTTGGGGTTGTGATGGTTGCCTGGTTTATAAATTCTGGATTACACCCCTCTATAGTAGGTGGTACTTAATACTCCCTGTGTGAAATGATGCCTTATAAGCCTTTAATTTTATAGTAATTTGAGGCCTCTGTTTTATCTTGATTTCCATGGCAAACCATGAAAGTAGTCACTGTAATGATGCTTAAATCCCACTCACTCTTATTATAGACCCTGTACTTCATTAGAATATTCTCAAAGGAATTCTGTTGCTAAATGAAACATTCTAACCATATAGATTATTGTGGCACGGTACTTAAACATTATAGGTACCATCTTTGTCTATATATAGTTCTTGTAATTATAAATATTTTGAGACCAGTCATGTTTATTTAACAAAAGACAAAACATTCTTAAATGTTCTTAATTAGGCAACATTGATTTATTGTGTTCAATGTATATGTTCCCAAAGAGAGGATGAAAATAACCTGATGTAGGATTACACTTTCATCACTTTGTACTTTTCTATCAGTGGTATTACAATAGTCCCATTATGACTGACTGTTTTTACCTGCATTGGCTGAAGAAAGAAAAGCATAATTGTAAATTGAACATTTGTAGATTAATTTTCTTACCTGTTAATATGTTATTGTTTGAAGTAAGAAAATTAAAATTGAAAAACTTGCTGATTGATGTTCTTAATATCTTACTACTTGAAATAAAAGAAAATCAATGTTTACATTAACAGGGTAACTCAGTGGACTTTGAGGCAGTAGTGGTGGCACAATGTGACGCTCTGATCGAGGCCATCAAGTATCGCAAACAAGAACTTCTTGAGAGTGTGGCCCAGGAAAAGGACTTGAAGACCCGTGTACTTAAGGACCAGGTGTCACACTGCACAAGTCTGCTGCAACGCACCACAGGGTTACTGCACTTCTGTATAGAGGTTCTAAAGGAGAGTGATGCTGCCTCGTTCCTTCAGGTATGAAGTCCTCCCTCTACTGGATACACTCTCACCAGATTTTTTACCTATAATTTTGTAAAAAAAGTAAAATGTCAAATAAAAAAAAAACAAAACAAAAAAAGGCCCTTTCAAATGTAAATTCAATTTTAGATAATTTTGTCGTTTGAAAGAATCTTTTCTACATTTTTTAAAATGGTTCCAACTTCTGTTTTATTTGCCCTGATAGCAGTGTTGCATAGAGATCCCAGTATGGTATTACAATATTCTGAAATTTTGGGTATACATTTTTGATGGTAAAGGGTACTTGTCAAAACACTTGTGTGAGAGTAAGTCACGTTTTATGATACATAGTTCAGTTGTTGTTGATTTGTAAATGTTCTGGTGATTTCTAGACAAGAAATTTTTAATTCATCGGAGGATTCAAATTACACAAGTTAGTTGAAGTGTTCAGGAATAGTATCCATTGCGTGGTGTCCTTTTGATGAATATAATTAAAAATGTTTAATGCATTTTTACACAATATGACAATTTAAACAAGTCTGATGGATCATGTTGCTGCTGAAAAATTCACTTTGTGAAGAATGATATCTGTGTAGCTAGATGAAATTTGTCATTATTGGAACTGCAGAGGTGGAAAATTTTATATCATTTAATCGTTCAAATTTCATTGTATACGTCATGTATATAAGATATTTTAGGTTTTGTGGTATTAGTGCAGTTTATAAATGCTAGATCATCAGGTTGACACTATTACAGCTACTTCAGAGCCTATAATAGTTAGTTCACTGGGTGAAATACAGATAAATAATGACTTAAAATGTGTTTAAAATGGAGAATGGAAGTGGTCAGGGTTAGTTACAGCAGGGGCTTTATAAACACAGTCATTGATATATCAGATGTGGCTGGATGAGGATAGAGGAACAGCCATACTAGATTATCTAAGGTTTACAAAGAGTGTTGGTTTGTTGATGTGATAGCAGCTAGCTGTCAGGGATGTGCTCATTGTGTTATCATTGCTGCCGGAAATGAATAAAAGGAAAGGAAGTCATTAGCTCCCAATCAAGTGATAGCAAATCTGAGCTGGTAAATCTGAGAGTTCAAATCCTTTTATTGTAGAGATTAAGTCCGTGTTGGTTTTACTGATGCAGTGTTTTCTCTGTTTGTTTGTTACAGATTAAATTAAAAAAAAACCTGTATTGACCTTTTTCTTATTTTAAAATACTTGCTCAAAGACCGTAATGATCATGTCTGGCGGTGACCTTTTGTGGTATTGTCCAAGGTCAGGTTGGGAACATCCTGTGTACATTAGGGATTGACTTGTATACCTCAATGGGTCATTTCCTCATCTTTGTGTAAATCTCTACTGATTTTGACACCTTCGCAGATCATTTATGATAACATTCCTGCAGTGGTCTGATCTATGTCCCTAGCTTGGACAGTTGACCATCACTGACTCAGATTACCCTGGTGCTAGGAATGTTTGATTTCTGTGATATTGCTGTGAATCCTACTCCTAATCTATAACAACATGGGTTATGCAAGATCGGAGGGGAGGAACTGGACATCCTCAGATAAGATTGTGTGTGTAATATGACCAATACACGCTGATAGATAAGATTGCATGTTTGTTTGGGACAATACAACCCAATACAAACATTTCAACATCCTCCAGCCACCTCACAACAGCCCATTTCTAATTCGGTATGAAAGGGTTGATAGGAGAATGATGTCCTGAAAGGTGTTGAATTTCTTTTTCTTAATAGGTATCTCACAGTAACTGCCTTTGGTCAGTCTGTTTAGTGAAGTAGATATATAAACATCACATTGGTCAGTGGTCAGCCTTTTTTAGCTTCCCTTCCCAATTCTTCTGATGTCCAGACTCCTGTTTGTGTCAGAAATTGACCGTATGACCCCAAACAAAGAATGAGAATGACTAGAAACCCTATCCTAGTCCAGAGGGACAGGCTGAATGGTAAACCCCATTCTTGTGCCTTTATCAGTACTGACAGAGGATCCTGTTTCTGTTTTCATTGTGTCAGTAAGCAGCAACAGGATTGTATTGGTGTTTGTCAGTTGTCATGGCATACATTGCCTGATGAACTCAACAGGTTGTGTATTGGCCATGACTGGATAGGGGGATATTTAGTTAATTATTGAACAAGATTAGTGATGGGAAGGGGTTCTTTCTTTGAAAGATTACTGTTCTGCTAACTGCATTGCCAGTGATTGTGTTTTACACTGTACTTAAAAATTAACAAAATACCAAAAATCAGCATGTAGAGAAATGCTTCCAGAATGACAGAACTAGGAGACAAGATCTGTTTTAGGTGACTTGGGCATCAGATATTGCTGTAGTATTTGATTTGGTCATTTGGGAGTGATGTTTTGACTACTGTTTGAACAGCCTTGTTGTTATGGTCACTAGGAAGTCCAGTGGATTTGTCATTTAACTAATCATTTATTCCCAAGCTGAGTTGACCACCAGCAGCATGAGCCTAGAACGATAACCATAATGACCAAACAAGCTGTTTGGTACAATGTTATTCTGGAAAGGTATATACATATATATATATTATTTGTACTTTTGGCTATATTTTTGAAGGGCTTTTGTTTTCGACAGTTTTTTGGTTTCACATTGAAAGTGGTTACTGTTACAGATGGTCCTCTAAAGTATATTGGTACAGTGATACCTACATATAAAACATCCACAGATTACTGATTGGACCACGTTTTTACTCATAAAACAGGAAATTATCCTGTGCTGGTAAAAATTTGTTGTCAGTGCATTAATGATGCTAGTGATGTTTTCAGTTTACATTTGGTTATAACGACATGCCGAGGGCACTCGCAACATTCTGTGTATTTTACTGATGGCTTTACATCGCTCTGGGGATGATTGGTGTGCAAATGGCACCCTCTGTCAGCTTTTGTTTTAGCTTGAATCATTCCAGTTCTGAGTGTGTCCTAGTAAACATATGCCAGTGTTCAAGGCTATTTCTTGTACCAGTGATAAATTTTATTTGGCCGTTTGTTTTTATGCCGCAAATGGCCACATTAGGGCTATATATGCACTTAGTCTCATGGAAGCAATGACCTGTAAGGTCCTCTAATCATCCCCAAACAACCATTCTAAGTGCACCGATTTGTTATGATATATGTATGAGTTGACTGCAGTGTGACAAGAGTGGGGATACTAATGGTCTGATCAGTTTACATTTGTGACCAGATGGCATTCCTTTGCCCTATGTAGGTAGGTTTCTACCATTCCCTTCCAATAGAATCACAGAAAGTCCAGTAGTAACAGATGAATTGGCTGGAGTGATGGACTATCACCTTCGCTGTGGATTTCCCTGAGGTGAACTCCTTCCAGGTGAGCTGGTCAGGCCTGATGAAGCGGTATTGACCATTCACTTGACTGATGAATCATCACATCAGGTGAACCAGCTGTCCACTAGGCAGGCACTGTCATTGGTACACACTGACAACATGTGTCAGGTAGACTGGACAGGCAGGAACACTAGAGTCAGCAAAACTAAGGCAGTTGTGTTTGTTTACATTGAGATGAGAATCTCCCCCAGTCACACTGGCCTGTCATACAAGGTGGCGACAGTAAGGCTCTGGTTTGATTTTATAGCAGATGTCATTTATGTCTGTATACAGAAAAATCTCACTTTGAAGTGAATAAACTGAGGAAGTGTTGGAGGTTAGAACTCCATGGTCTGTTATGTAGTATAAGTTTTATAAGGTGTATCCCTCCTGCCTGTTTTGATAAGAATTTATTTCTAATACACAAAAGCCAAGGATATCAATGCTGAAGCTCGCCAGCTGATAGTTGTTGTGGTAAATGTCTTGTTTGTATTGGTAGATTGACGTCTTGAGGGAAAACAGGATCAAAATCACAGTAAATTGTGTTAGAATATGTACAACATGGCGACAGATAGGGTCAACTGATGAGGAGGTGTGCATTTGTGTATAGATTTGGAATAAAGTTGTGTTAGTGCCCCAGTACAGTCAGGTACTTTGTTGGTACTAGAACCATCCTTCCTCTGGCAAACTTTGTTCATGTTAGTGATTGAACTTTTCATTAATGGAAGACCAAGAACCACTGTCTGTATTTATACCTGATTCCTAAACCTGCTCAGGAAATAGCTGTAGTGTCTCAATCTGGCTTCAATTGTCTACACAATTCAGCCTCAAGATTTGTGGAAGTGTTGTGGATCTGATGTCCAGGGATTATAGAGACTAGACTGTGATAGTGAGACACTGACTGACTGTGTGGAGCTTGAGGCTGACACAACAGACAGGGATTGTCATCAGTTAGCCAGTTTTGCTGATTGTAGAAATGAATTTATACAATATGTTTTGTAAAAGGGTTATATGGAAATGATACAAAATCCCCTGACTTTCGTTAGGAGAATGGATGCATTAAAAGGCGTTGTAGATATGTATACAGACCATACCAATATCAGAAATGAAAAGTTGTATATATGCACATTACATTTAATGGTCAACAAATTATACCTTTTATCTCACTTTTATCCTCAGTTGAACTTGACCATTAAGATAGATTGGTCATGCATGAAAATTATTGACATTGATAGGGACACAACATCAAACACTGACCGATGCTCTCAATCTTTTAAATCTGGACAACCCATCAGCAGTTATCTCTATCTATTTATTGAACGTTCAATTCATTTCTTTCACACCTTCAAAGAATTAGATGCATAACACTAGACAGAAGGCATTCTGCTATATTATAGATATGTTTACCATGCTCTGGGCTCTACATCAGGAATATAGAAGGTTTAATCAGACCATGATGTGCCGCCCCAGGGACCCTAGTCAATGTTTGTGAGCTGTCACTGTCCACTTGTGGACCTATAGCCAATCTCTGAGTGGTCCTAGGGCTACTTTTAAAGGGTGTCTCCATTAAAGAAACACCTTTTGTGGCAAGGAGGTTCTGTGAGGTGTATTAATAGCATACCAATTGTCACTTGATTTTTGTCAAATAAAGC